GGGTCCCAGAATTCAGGATTTGAGGGTCTCAGGGTGGGTTTGGGGATCCCAGGGGTGGGATTTGGGGTCCCAGGAGGATTTTGGGAAGATTTGGGGGTCCCAGGGTGGGATTTGGGGGCTTTGGGGTCCCAGGGGGATTTGGGGTCCCAGGATGGGATTTGAGGGTCCCAGGTTGGGTTTGGGGGTCCCAGGGAGGATTTGGGGAAGATTTGGGGGTCCCAGGGTGGGATTTGGGGGTCCCAGGGTGGATATTGGGGAATTTGTGGGGATTTTGGGGGATTTTGGGGAATTTTGGGGGATTTTGGGGTTTTGGGGGTCAGGATTTTTGGGGGGTCAGTATTTTTGGGGGGTCTCAGGGTCTCCTGGTCCCCGATGACCCTCCTGGATCCAGTCGAGGTGGGTCCCAGGGTGGGTTTTAGGGGTCCCAGGGTGGGATTTGGGGTCTTAGGGTGGGATTTTGGGGTGATTTTGATGGAATTTTGGGGATTTGGGGTTTTTGGGGTCAGTATTTTTGGGGGTCAGGATTTTGGGGGGTCTCAGGGGTCTCCTGGTCCCTGATGACCCCTGGATCCAGTCGAGGTGGGTCCCAGGAGGTGGGTTTTGGGGGGATTTTGGGGAATTTGAGGGGATTTTGGGGGAATTTGAGGGGATTTTGGGGTTTTTTGGGGTCAGGATTTTTTGGGGGGGTCAGTATTTTTTTGGGGGGGTCTCAGGGGGTCTCCTGGTCCCCGATGACCCCCCGGATCCAGTTGAGGTGGGTCCCAGGCTGGGTTTTGGGGGGGATTTTGGGGGATTTTGGGGTGATTTTGGGGGAATTTGGGGGATTTTGAAGGGAATTTTGGGGGATTTTGGGGTTTTGGGGGGTCAGGGAGGTTTTTGGGAGGGGTGAGGATTTTTTGGGGGGGGGTCTCAGGGGGTCTCCTGGTCCCCGATGACCCCCCGGATCCAGTCGAGGTGGGCGTGGACCCCCGCGTAGACCCCCGGGCGTCCCGGCTGCCCACAGGGCTGCTCCCCCCACGAGACGATGCCCTGGAGGGACCCCCCGCACGTCAGGGGACCCCCTGAGTCACCCTGGGGACACAAAGGGGACATCAGGGGACATCAGAGTCACCCTGGGGACCCCCCACACGTCAGGGGACCCCCGGAGTCACCCTGGGGACACAAAAAGGGGAGAGAGGGGACATCAGGGGACCCCCGGAGTCACCCTGGGGACAGAGGGGACATCCCAGAGTCACCCTGGGGACAGAGGGGACATCAGGGGGACATCAGGGGACCCCCAGAGTCACCCTGGGGACACAAAGGTGGCATCAGGGGACCCCCAGAGTCACCCCCCGCACGTCAGGGGACCCCCAGAGTCATCCTGAGGACAGAGGGGACATCAGAGTGACATCAGAGTCACCCTGGGGACATCAGAGGGACATCAGAGTCACCCTGGGGACCCCCAGAGTCACCCTGGGGACATCAGAGGGACATCAGAGTCACCCTGGGGACAGAGGGGACATCAGAGGACATCAGAGTGACATCAGAGTCACCCTGGGGACATCAGAGTGACATCAGAGTCACCCTGGGGACCCCCGGAGTCACCCTGGGGACACAAAGGGGACATCAGAGTGACATCAGAGTCACCCTGGGGACCCCCCGCACGTCAGGGGACCCCCAGAGTCACCCTGGGGACACAAAGGGGACAGAGGGGACATCAGGGGACCCCCAGAGTCACCCTGGGGACACAAAGGGGACATCAGAGTCACCCTGGGGACCCCCGGAGTCACCCTGGGGACAGAGGGGACATCAGAGTGACATCAGAGTGACATCAGAGTCACCCTGGGGACAGAGGGGACATCCCAGAGTCACCCTGGGGACACAAAGGGGACATCAGAGTCACCCTGGGGACCCCCAGAGTCACCCTGGGGACAGAGGGGACATCAGAGTGACATCAGAGTCACCCTGGGGACCCCCAGAGTCACCCTGGGGACACAGAGGGGACATCAGAGTCACCCTGGGGACCCCCAGAGTCACCCTGGGGACACAGAGGGGACATCAGAGTCACCCTGGGGACCCCCAGAGTCACCCTGGGGACCCCCAGAGTCACCCTGGGGACAGAGGGGACATCAGAGGGACATCAGGGGACCCCCAGAGTCACCCTGGGGACACAAAGGGGACATCAGAGTGACATCAGAGTCACCCTGGGGACAGAGGGGACATCAGAGGGACATCAGAGGGGACATCAGAGTGACATCAGAGTGACATCAGAGTCACCCTGGGGACCCCCAGAGTCACCCTGGGGACACAAAGGGGACATCAGAGTCACCCTGGGGACCCCCAGAGTCACCCTGGGGACAGAGGGGACATCAGAGGGGCATCAGAGTCACCCTGGGGACCCCCAGAGTCACCCTGGGGACAAAAAGGGGACAGAGGGGACATTGAGGGGATATCAGGAACAGGGTGGTGACTCCTGGGGACAGGTGACACACCTGGGGACACACCTGGGGACACACTTGAGGGACAGGTGACACACCTGGGGACACACCTGGGGACAGGGTGGTGGCACTTGGGGACAGGTGACACACCTGGGACACACCTGGGGACTGGGGACACACCTGGGGACACACCTGGGGACAGGGTGGTGGCACTTGGGGACAGGGGACACACCTGGGGCCAAGGAGGGGACACGTGGGGACAGGGTGGTGACACCTGGGGACACGAGGGTGACACACCTGGGGACAGGTGACACACCTGGGGACAGGGAGGTCACACCTGGGGGACAGGTGACACACCTGGGGACACAATGGTGTCACCTGGGGACAGGTGACACACCTGGGGACACACCTGGGGACACACCTGGGGACAGGGAGGTGACACCTGGGGACAGGGAGGTGACATCTGGGGCCAGTTGACACACCTGGGGACACGATGGTGACACAATGGTGACACCTGGGACAGGTGACACACCTGAGACACACCTGGGCACACGATGGTGACACAATGGTGACACCTGGGGACTGAGGACACACCTGGGGACAGGTGACACCTAGGACAGATGACACACCTGGGGATACACCTGGGGCCAGGTGACACACCTGGGGACACACCTGGGGACAGGTGACACACCTGGGGACACACCTGGGGACACACCTGGGGGACAGGTGACACACCTGGGGACAGGGTGGTGGTACTTTGGGACAGAATGGTGACACCTGGGGGACAGGTGACACACCTGGGGGACAGGGGACACACCTGGGACACACCTGGGGACACACCTGGGGACAATGGTGACACCTGGGGACACACCTGGGGACACACCTGGGGACAGGGGACACACCTGGAGACAGGGAGGTGACACCTGGGGACACAATGGTGACACTGGGGGACACGTGACACACCTGGGGACAGGGGACACACCTGGGGACAAGTGACACACCTGAGAACAAAGTGATGACACCTGGGGGCAGGGTGGTGACACCTGGGACAGGTGACACACCTGGGGACAGGTGACACCTGGAGACAGGGAGGTGGCACTTGGGGACAGAATGGTGACACCTGGGACAGGTGACACACCTGGGGACACACCTGGGGACACACCTGGGGACAGGGAGGTGACACCTGGGGACAGGGAGGTGACATCTGGGGACAGGGAGGTGACACCTGGGTGGCAGGTGACACACCTGGGGCCGTGATGGTGTCACCTGGGACAGGGGACACACCTGGGGACAGGTGACACACCTGGGACACACCTGGGCACACGATGGTGACACAATGGTGACACCTGGGGACTGAGGACACACCTGGGGACAGGTGACACCTAGGACAGATGACACACCTGGGGATACACCTGGGGCCAGGTGACACACCTGGGACACACCTGGGGACAGGTGACACACCTGGGGACAGGATGGTGACACACCTGGGAACAGGTGACAGACCTGGGGACAGGTGAAACACCTGGGGACAGGGTGGTGACACCTGGGGACACACCTGGGGACACACCTGGGGGACAGGTGACACACCTGGGGACACACCTGGGGGACAGGTGACACACCTGGGGACACACCTGGGGACACACCTGGGGACACACCTGAGGACAGGGAGGTGACATCTGGGGGACAGGTGACACACCTGGGGACACACCTGGGGACACGATGGTGACACGATGGTGACACCTGCGCCCGTACCTGGCAGGAGTCCTTGCCGCCCTCGGCCACGCCCGCGCAGAGCATGTCGTCGGTCACCTGCGGCCCGTAGGACACCTGGCACTCAGGGACGGCCACCAGGGTGACATTGACACAGTGAGGGACGTCAGGGAACTCCTCTGGGGGGGACAGGGCAGGTGACACACCTGGGACACACCTGGGGACACACCTGGGACACACCTGAGGGACAGGTGACACACCTGGGGACACACCTGGGACACACCTGGGACACACCTGGGACACACCTGGCCCTGTCCCTGCCCTGGCACTCGGGGACGGCCACCAGGGTGACATTGACACAGTGAGGGACGTCAGGGAACTCCTCTGGGGGGGACAGGGCAGGTGACACACCTGGGACACACCTGGGACACACCTGGGGACAGGGGACACACCTGGGGACAGCTGGGACACACCTGGGACACACCTGGGACACACCTGGGACACACCTGGGGGTGATGGGGACACACCTGGGACACACCTGGGAACGCTGGGGACACACCTGGGACACACCTGGGACACACCTGGGACGACACCTGGGGACACACCTGGGGCAGCATGGGGACACACCTGGGGACACACCTGGGACACACCTGGGGACACACCTGGGACACACCTGGGACACACCTGGGGACACACCTGGGACACACCTGGGACACACCTGGGACACACCTGGGACACACCTGGGGACACACCTGGGACACACCTGGGGACACACCTGGGGGTAATGGGGACACACCTGGGACACACCTGGGACACACCTGGGACACACCTGGGGACAGCTGGGACACACTGGGACACACTGGGACACACCTGGGACAGGGGACACACCTGGGACACACCTGGGACACACCTGGGACACACCTGGGACACACCTGGGAACAGGGGCACACCTGGGGACAGGGCACACCTGGGACACAACCTGGGGACACACCTGGGACACACCTGGGACACACCTGGGAGTGATGGGGACACACCTGGGACACACCTGGGACACACCTGGGCACAGATGACACACACCTGGGCACACACCTGGGACACACCTGGGACACACCTGGGACACACCTGGCCCTGTCCCTGCCCTGGCACTCGGGGACGGCCACCAGGGTGACATTGACACAGTGAGGGACGTCAGGGAACTCCTCTGGGGGGGACAGGGCAGGTGACACACCTGGGACACACCTGGGACACACCTGGGACACACCTGGGACAAACCTGGGACACACCTGGCACAGCTGGGACACACCTGGGACACACCTGGCACAGCTGGGACACACCTGGGACACACCTGGGACACACCTGGGACACACCTGGCACAGCTGGGACACACCTGGGACACACCTGGGACACACCTGGCCCTGTCCCTGCCCTGGCACTCAGGTACGGCCACCAGGGTGACATTGACACAGTGAGGGACGTCAGGGAACTCCTCTGGGGGGGACAGGGCAGGTGACACACCTGGGACACACCTGGGACACACCTGGGAGCACACCTGGGGACAGGGACACCTGGGACACACCTGGGACACACCTGGGACACACCTGGGACACACCTGGGGACAGGGGACACACCTGGGACACACCTGAGACACACCTGGGACACACCTGAGACACAGCTGGGACACACCTGGGACACACCTGGGACACACCTGGGGACAGATGTCACACACCTGGCACACACTGGGCACAGATGACACACACCTGGCACACACCTGGGACACACATGTCACACACCTGGGCACACACCTGGGGACAGCTGGGGACACAGCCGGGACACACCTGGGACACACCTGGGGACACACCTGGGACACACCTGGGACACACCTGGGACACACCTGGGACACACCTGGGGACAGGGGACACACCTGGGACACACCTGGGACACACCTGGGACACACCTGGGGACAGGGGACACACCTGGGACACACCTGGGACACACCTGGCGACACACCTGGGACACACCGGGGACACACCTGGGACACACCTGGGACACACCTGGGACACACCTGGGGACAGGGGACACACCTGGGACACACCTGGGACACACCTGGGACACACCTGGGGACAGCTGGGGACACACCTGGGACACACCTGGGGACACACCTGGGACACACCTGGGAGTGATGGGGACACACCTGGGACACACCTGGGGACACACCTGGGGACACACCTGGGACACACCTGGGGACACACCTGGGGACACACCTGGGACAGGGGACACACCTGGGACACACCTGGGACACACCTGGGACACACCTGGGGACACACCTGGGGACACACCTGGGGACACACCTGGGGGTAATGGGGACACACCTGGGACACACCTGGGACACACCTGGGACACACCTGGGGACAGCTGGGACACACCTGGGACACACCTGGGGACAGGGGACACACCTGGGACACACCTGGGACACACCTGGGACACACCTGGGACACACCTGGGAACAGGGGACACACCTGGGACACACCTGGGATACACCTGGGACACACCTGGGACACACCTGGGAGTGATGGGGACACACCTGGGACACACCTGGGGACAGCTGGGACACACCTGGGACACACCTGGGACAGGGGACACACCTGGGACACACCTGGGACACACCTGGGACACACCTGGGACACACCTGGGACACACCTGGGGACACACCTGGGACAGGGGACACACCTGGGACACACCTGGGACACACCTGGGAGTGATGGGGACACACCTGGGACACACCTGGGACACACCTGGGGACAGCTGGGACACACCTGGGACACACCTGGGGACACACCTGGGACACACCTGGGACACACCTGGGCCTGCCCTGGCACTCTGGGACGGCCACCAGGGGACACGACACAGTGAGGGACGTCAGGGAACTCCTCTGGGGGGGACAGGGCAGGTGACACACCTGGGACACACCTGGGACACACCTGGGACACACCTGGGGACAGGGGACACACCTGGGACACACCTGGGGACACACCTGGGACACACCTGGGACACACCTGGGACAGGGGACACACCTGGGACACACCTGGGACACACCTGGGACACACCTGGGACACACCTGGGACACACCTGGGGACAGGGACACACCTGGGGACACACCTGGGCACAGATGACACACCTGGGACACACCTGGGACACACCTGGGGATAGCTGGGACACACCTGGGACACACCTGGGGACAGCTGGGGACACACCTGGGACACACCTGGGACACACCTGGGGACACACCTGGGACACACCTGGGACACACCTGGGACACACCTGGGACACACCTGGGGACAGGGGACACACCTGGGACACATCTGGGACACACCTGGGACACACCTGGGACAGGGGACACACCTGGGACACACCTGGGACACACCTGGGACACATCTGGGACAGGGACAACCCCTCCAACCTGGGGACACACCTGGAACCCTGAACTGGTGCCACCAATCCCCTCCCAGTCCATCCCAGTCCCTCCCAGTTTATCCCAATCCCCTCCCAGTCCTTCCCAGTCCCTCCCAGTCCCAGCCCCGGCAGATGAACACACCTGGGGAGGAGGGGACACACCTGACACACCTGGGGACACACCTGGCCCCCAGTCCCTCCCAGTGCCCCCCAATCCCTTCCCAGTCCCTCCCAGTGCCCCCCAATCCCCTCCCAGTCCCTCCCAGTGCCCCCCAATGCCCTCCCAGTGCCCCCAGTGCCCCCAATCCCCTCCCAATCCTCTCCAGTCCCCTCCCAGTCCCTCCCAGTGCCTCCCAGTGCCTCCCAGTGCCTCACCGTTGTCGCCGCCGGTGCTGCCCCACCCCATGACGTCACAGGGGGTGCCGGGGCTGGGGGGCTCGCTGGGGAGGGGGAGGGGCTGCACCAGGGGGGTCCAGGTGAACGGCGGCTCCACCCGCACCAGGAGGAGGTCGTGGGAGCGACCCCCGGGATCCCCCCCCGGGAATTCGGGATCGGCTCCCCGAGGGGATTCCGGGAACTTCTGGAATTCGGGATTTCCCCTCTGGAATTGCGGGTCCTGCTGGAATTCCGGAACCTTCTGGGATTTGGGATTTATCCTCTGGAATTTGGGATTTCCCCTCTGGAATTCTGGGTCCTGCTGGAATTCTGAATCCTTCTGGAATCTGGGGTTTTCCCTCTGGAATTCGGGATCATTCTGGAATTCTGGATCCTTCTGGAATTCTGGGTCCTTCTGGAATTCGGGATTTCTCCTCCAAAATTCGGGATTTTCCCTCTGGAATTCAGGATCATTTCCCCTCCAAAATTCGGGATCATTTTCCCTCTGAAATTCGGGATTTCCCCTCTGGAATTCCTGATCCTTCTGGAATTCGGGATCATTTCCCCTCTGCAATTCAGGATTTCCTCTCTGGAATCTGGGATCCTTCTGGAATCCGGGATTTCCCCTCTGGAATTGGGGCTCTCCCCCCTGGAACTCGGGGTGCGGCACCAGCTCCGCGGCCGCCGCGAATTGTTCGTGCCCCTCGGGCTGGGACAGGCTGTGCCCACCTGCCCTCACCTGCAGGGGGCTGAGGCACAGAGGGCACAGGTGAGACCCCCCAGTGCTCCCAGTATGGCCCAGTAGCCCCCAGTATGGCCCAGTATCCCCCAGTGCTCCCAGTTCCCTCCCAGTGCCATCGCCCCCTGTGCCCCCCCCTCACCTGTGCCCACCTGCCCTCACCTGCAGGGGGCTGAGGGGGGCACAGGTGAGACCCTCCCAGTGCTCCCAGTATGGCCCAGTATGGCCCAGTATCTCCCAGTATGGCCCAGTAGCTCCCAGTTCCTCCCAGTGCTCCCAGTAGCTCCCAGTGCCCTGCTCCCAGTAGCTCCCAATGCTCCCAGTGTCTCCCAGTACTCAGTAGCTCCCAGTATCTCCCAGTAAATCCCAGTATCTCCCAGTATGGCCCAGTATCCCCCAGTATGGCCCAGTATCCCCCAGTATGGCCCAGTATCCCCCAGTATCCCCCAGTAGCTCCCAGTTCACTCCCAGTGCTCCCAGTAGCTCCCAGTGCTCTCCAGTAGCTCCCAATGCTCCCAGTGTCTCCCAGTACTCTCCAGTAGCTCCCAGTATCTCCCAGTAACATCCCAGTATCTCCCAGTATGGCCCAGTATCCCCCAGTATGGCCCAGTATCCCCCAGTATGGCCCAGTAGCTCCCAGTTCACTCCCAGTGCTCCCAGTAGATCCCAGTGCTCTCCAGTAGCTCCCGATGCTCCCAGTGTCTCCCAGTACTCTCCAGTAGCTCCCAGTATCTCCCAGTAAATCCCAGTATCTCCCAGTATGGCCCAGTATCCCCCAGTGCTCCCAGTT